ATAAATAAATAAATAAATAACACAATAACAATAATAATATTATTATTAATAATAATGAAATCTCTAATAATAATAGTAATAATAATAATAATTAATGAATAATATTAAATAAAAAGAAAACAAACCATTATACACGATCATTTTCTGTTACCCCATCGTAACACGAATGATACGTCTCACACGCAAAAAAAATAATATATAACACCTGAACAAAATTGGAAAAAAAAACAAAAAAAAAAAAAAGAAAATCCTACTGAAAACGATTGATACGCGATATTGTAACGCATGCATATATTGCACATAATTAATGAAATTATTATTATTATTATTATTAATACTATTGTCATTATATCGTAACGTTATATATTATTATAAATGTTATCATTTTTATTCAGATATTATATATACATATATATATATATCAACTTAATCAAAGTCAGCTCATATAGGGATCCAATGATTGAGATCTTATTTCTAAATATTTCCATTCGAAACGTGTGCGTGCCCTCCGAATTTTAATTTTTCCCATGCCCCTTCCCAGCCACCCCCCATTCCCCCCGTCAACCATCACCCCCTCAAAAGCCGCCGCAAACAAAAACGTTTACGAACTCATGAAAATATTTGCGGCTTGCGCGAGATCATCGTTGAATTTTCTTAAAGAACTATTTAATATTTTTATCTTTTATTTTTTTTTTTTTGTCTGTTAACACATTAATCTTGACACATTCTTCCGAAAGGATTTTTTAATAAACAAAAAAGGAAAAGAAATCTTTTAAAAAATGTTCCTACTATATCACGTGTGTTTATAATTGAAATGATTAATCCTCGAGAAGAAAATCTTTAACGAAATTTTAGTTCAATGATCTCGCGCGGGGCACCGAAATACAACCAAAAAAAAAAAAAAATAATAAAAAAAACTCTATCGATAATATTGGAGCAATGAAATCACTGTGATATCACTAAAACGCTTTCAAGGTGTGCGTGTGTGTGTTTATTGGGAAGGATCGACAATCTTACGAGCCTTCGTGAACAAAAATAATTCGTCTTAGAGATTATTAAGTTATTGGGGAATACGAGGAAATAGAAGAAAAAAAAAAAAGAAAAAATAAAGAAAGGGGTGACGAAGAAGAAGAAGAGAGAGAAAGAAAGAAAGAGAGAGAAACAAAAGATAGAGAAAAAAAGACAAAGAAAATTTATGATATTAAATACCGTAAATTTATTGTGAAAAAAACACTTGTATTATTAATCGGAAAAGAATCTATAAATATATATATAAATATATGCATTAAAAAAAAAAATAATAATAATAATAATAATAATAATATAAATTATGATTATTATATCATTAAAAGACTATTATCATCCTACGATTATTATTATTATCATCATTGTTAGTCTCACTATTATCGATAAAAAAGAAAGAAAAAAAAAAAAAAGAAAGAATAAATAATAAATGATAAAGAACACTCCTATTGTCTAAATAGCGTTGATTGTCTGTTATATAGAGAATGTGATTTAAATGAAAAGGTTCCGATTAAAAGAAAAAGAAAAAAAAGAAATAAAAAAAAAAAAAAGTAAGTGGAGAAAAAGGATTAAAAAATATATATGCGAGAAATAATAAAATAATTAATAATAAACTATTTACATGACGCGTTTTTTTTTCTGTGTACATAGAACAAAGAGAGAGAGGGAGAGAGAGAGAGAGAGAGAGAGAGAGAGAGAGAAGAGATAAAGGGTGAAAAAAAGAATGGGGAATAAAAAAATGTTGAAGCGAAAGGATTTGAAGCGGAAGCTATGCGGAATAAAAGGGTGAAACTCGAATCGATTCGTTCAATTTTCTGTACTGCGAGATAAGAGAGGAGAAACAACTGGTCAAATAAAAGCTAGAAGAATGAAAATGAAAAAAGAAAAAAAGAAAAGGAAATATAAAAAACACAACAAGTTTTGAAAATGCGATTTCCGTTCGAAATCGAACGATTTCCGGCTTAGAATCTTTTAAATATAAGTAATGGGTAAGAAATCGGATTTTAGAAAAAAAAAAAGAAAAAAAAAGATGAAAAAAAAAATACTTTCGACGATTATGAAATAATAGTCTATTTAAAACTTGAGAAAGTTTTATATAGTGACAATAGCCGAATTTATGCGTAATATAAATAAATAAATCTTTAAATCTGTGTCTGTGTTGAGACAAGAGAGAGAAGAAAGAGATGCGAGAAGAATAAAAAAAAAAAAAAGAACAGAATAACACAAAAGAATTAGAAATAATATAAATTCTTGGCATCCGTCTAATTGTATTGAAATTTTTATCTCTAAACTCTGTCTGCGAAATAATTATGATGAAAAAAAAAAAAAAAGAACAGAAAAAAGCAAAGAAACCATTGATTTTTATATCTTTTTTTTTTCCTTCACGTTTAAAATTCGTAGAGAGTTGATTTTTTTAAGCCGTAAGTTTCGTCAACAATTTCCCGTTCAAATTTATTTCCCAATCTCCCATTCTCGTAATTCAATAACAAACGCGTGATTTAACATTTATCAGAGCACATCTTTGACAACAAAAAATTACATTCGAGAGTGCTTTCGCATTTTTTTTTTTTATATATAAAATAAAATAAACCATGAAATATAAATGATTTCAATTTTTTATCTTACTTTCACGAACACAAAAATTATTTTAAATTATTTCCAAGACGAACTCTTCGATCGCGTAATCAACAAAAAATACATTCGAGAGTGCTATCGCATTTTTTTTTATATAGAAAATAAAATAAACCATGAAATATGAATGATTTCAATTCTTTATCTTTCTCTAACGAACACAAAAATGATTTTAAATTATTTTCAAGAAGAACTCTTCGATCGCGTAATCAACGGACGGTAATTTTGTAAAAAGTGCATCGAGAATCAAACGGTGTGCATCGATGCCATCATATATTATACGTTTGCGTATAGAATACATTTCGGATGTTTCGATTCGAAGATTTATATCGGTCCATCGTAAAAATTTTAATAGTAAAAAAAAAGTCTGTAAGATTTGCAAAATACGAACAAAGGATATATATTATTCTCGCAACATTTCAAC